TTTTCTATGGGTATGTCAAGGCGTTTCCAAACTGTGCCATTTGGAGACTCCAAAAGGACCCTTGGTAACCATGATGACATACCTGGGATAAAAAGGCTGCTACTCCTGAACGCTTTGACGTACATGCATCATTCTTGGCTCTATGAAAAGGTAACAATTAGAGCTACGCTATACAATACTCAGAATCACTATCAGTATTGCTGAAATAGATTTATAGAAGCATAAACACATTTAAAGTGCATTTTTCTAGCTTCGTGCATTACCGTTCTGTGTAAAAAATGAGTAGAAACAAGTGTTATTGTGGAAAACTCTTGCAACACAGCAAACTTTAGAAAACACACATATTTACATTATTTACAAACTATCTTTATGAGTGACATCCTACAAGTTATTTGCAACATGCCAGTCATTATAACAGTCTCTCTTGGGAATAAAGCACAAGGGCACATCATATGAGGCACATTTCAATGGGGTCTTTTTGTGACAATACTTGCACTTTCGCCGACCAATGGTGCGGTCCATGCTGATGTGCACTGGCCTATGGTGTGTTCCACTTGGAGGAGGAGTTTGTATGGTTCTGGCTGTGGAGCTAGACCCCACTTTTGCACCTGGATGTACAGAAAAAGAAACAACAGTGAGAAATATATACCAAAACATGATTATCTATAGGACGCAAATTTTTATTTTTCAAACGGCAAAAAAACACATTTGAATATAGTGTACATACCGGTTGTAGTCTTTGACAGCTCGGGGAACAGGAACATCCTTCAATTCCCAGCGACCATCTGCACCTTTGACTCTCCTCTGGACTGTCACCTGCATGTGCTGTGTGAAGAGTTGAGCACATGAAGACATCCCTTGTGTCTCCCTTGTGAAAATGAATAGATAACAGTTAGTAATTACAAAATTGGACAAACTTTCACATACTTTTTGTGTTACCCCAGAGATACCCAGATACACACCCCTCCCTAAGAGACCAAAGGTAACACCTCATGATACACACAAAATACATTGTGTTTGACTCGTGCCTGAGGGAACTTTTTGAAACCTGTCCCGTGTGTAGGAGGCAGTCTGAGGTTCAGCGGCAATGCATGGGCACATTTGTGGCTTTTAAACAGTTTTGCCACAACTGCAACTATTCCAGAAAGTGGCAGAGCCAGTCCATTGTTGGCAGCACCCCTGTGGGAAATCTGGAGTTATCTGCAGCTACATACTTCACAGGCGCTTCATTCTTCCAGCTGGGAAAGGTAGGTCTCTATATCTTAATATTTCAATCTTTTTCTGCAGTTTTTTTTTCTCTTTGTTGAACTATAGGTGTGTAAGGCAATACAACTCCAAATGTTCCAGTATGACACCTTCAGGAGACATGCAAGAATTTTTTTGAGCAGCCATTATCCACAAATGGAACAACGACCACAAGCTATGTTTCAGATCTCCAACACAGAGGGAAGGTTGCAGTTGGTGGTGACATGCGTGCGGACTCGCCTGGTAATTATTTGACTTCTTCATTGTTAAAATCCTCATCTTCATATATTCGGTTTTAATTACAAATTCTTGCAACTTACCGTTGGTTTTTATTTACTTATATTCTAGCTCACTCTGCAAATTTGGAAGTTACACACTCATGCACCTGGAGAGCAACAAGATCCTTGATCTTCAACTTGTGCAGGTGAGATACATCTCCTATTCTCATGTAATAGACAGGAAACTATTTGAAACATTCTCCAACATTCATACTTTCCACTTTTTTTTCCACCACAAGAGCAATGAGGTCGGTGGTAGTTACCACATGGAAAAGGAGGGACTGAAGCGATCTCTAGATTGTCTGGAATCTAATGGTTTGGAGGTTGATTACATTGTAACAGACCGCCATCCACAGATTCGGAAATATCTGAGAGGACGCAGCATCACCCAGTTCTATGATGTTTGGCACTTTAAAAAGGGTAAATATTCATGTCTTAATTTGATAGACACATACTGTCACTTTAGCATGCCTTCCTCAAACTATATATTTAATATTCATTCATTGTTTGTATCCCTGCTATCAGGTCTGTCAAAGAAATTGATAAACTTGGAGAGAACAAGACTGCCCGGTGGTGAACAAGTGGCTCCGTTCCATAAAGAACCACATTTACTGGAGCGCAACATCATCTACATCAGGACCAGAGAAGTGGCCAAGTTCACATCCATGTTCAACCACATTCAGGATGTGCATGAGCATGAAAATCTCTCTTTCCTGAGTGTACTCATCCAAAGTATTGGTTCCAACCAGGTATGCAAACAGCACTCATGTAAAAAAATGATGAATGGCTTATGTACAGTTTTATGGAACTTCCTGTTTTTTAATTTATTCTAATTTTAATTTTGTGTTTTTACTCTCGGGTCAGTGGCTCTACATCGTCTAGAGAAAATGTTGAATAACAAGAGGGTCTTGAAGGATGTGGAGAATCTGAGCCACCATTATCAAACCTCTGCACTTGAGTCCTACCATAGCCTGCTGCTTCGTTTCACACCGAAGAATGTGGTCTTTCCATTCATGGAATGTTGTGCAGGTATGCTGTAGAACTTTACAAATACATTTTTGTTGTTAGGCCTGTTGTACCACCTCTAACAAATTAACCAATTGCTGATATATCTGACCAATAATATCAGAAACATATGATTTCATTATATAATTGCTGATTTTACCTTTTTGTATTGTAGGTTGTTTCTGTCAGTGATTCATTACAATGAAAATGCTGAACGCGAGCAAGCAACAACCTCTACAGGACAGCCGATCTACAAGTCAAAACAGATCCAACATACATTAAGTTACAAATTATTTTATTTTTCTAAACACAAAAGAACAATTTTAAATACTTTCAGAAACAGTAAAAAAAGGATGACAGAAAAATGAGCAATAAACAAATTATACATATATATATTTTTTTCAGAATATGTTGGGTACTTGATTGCACTGGTGTTTGAAGAGGTTCCCGGACCTCGCATCATTTCTTGAGGAGCTTCAGAGAATACCAGTCCTCAAGGATCTTGCCTCAGACTTTGTCCCTCAAAAGAGGAAGTAGTGGCTTGACACAAGTCCAGGTTCAGCCAAGGGGCGGGCGGAAGCCAAGATACTGTCCGGTCGGGTCTGGAAACTCAAGCCGGATCCTCAGGACAACACACGACGGGATGACTACTCTGCAGTTGCGTCCCAAATATCCCCAGCACAAGCTCACACAGCTACGATAGGCCAAGTGTCTGTAAAGCCTGTATGGAGACATAAAAATGTTCTCATTGTATATTACATTGTATAGTTCTCTCTCATTTCCTTTTGTTTAACTTTAGCTGCAAATAAAGAATTTACAAAAAAGGTTTTGTAACTTGTTTACTTTTATTCATATTGAATAATGGAAATGAACTGTTTGTTTAGAATCATTTTTTATACTTTACATACTCTTCTGCTGTTCTCCCTCTCAAAGGCCCGTAGTCCACTCTGAAGAATGTTGTGTATATTTTGGAGTGTATATGGGTTAAAACTGTTTGCTTCTAGCCCCGGATGTTGAGTCATGCAGGTGGAAGGAACAGGTGTTACACCCCTGTCCAGCGTACTGTAAGGGGAGAAATAAAGAAGAAACAAACAAACACATTGTTGCTGGCTTTCATTCAATGGTGTAATGAATGACGCTCAGACAACACGCTCCCCCTGCTGGCGTAAAACCGGAAGTGTAAAACAATAACAAAAGCTTAAGACCAAACCAATCAATTACCGATATGCTTTTAAACTTAACCTTAGCAACATGAATTAACATTAAATTATAACTAGCTTTTTAGCGTTTTTAAAGGATATACAACATTTTAGAAAGACATAGTTTTAACATGTGTTATTAATTTAACTTAGTGCACAATCTTATATCCATTACACAGGCAGCTCATTCATTCTCCAGATGACCTAATAAAAAGAACAAGATACTGATTAAAATGAAATAATAATACTCCATCAGTACAGTAATAATGGGGCAATTAATGACAGAGTAGGCAAAATTATTGCATGGTACACATATTGATCTATTTTACACATGATTATCACCTGGGCTTTTGTAGAATAGGTAGCTAACAGTTATATGATGAACTTGATACACACAATTGTAAACTGAATTTTTAATCACAGCAAGGAGGTGATTTACAATGCAGTACAAGGTGAGGTGAGTGTCTTCACCGTTATTCATTTAAGAATGTACAGTACTAATGTAAATTTATAGCCAAACTTTGTTAAGCCACAAGTAAAACAGATATTTTTTCATTGGGGAAATATGTTGGTAGTTCTAGTCACTGAAATTAGAAGAGGCTAACGCATTTTTCAAAACAATAACGTTGAATGTTTTTATGATGAAAAGACATGATGCAAACATAACATGCTTTGTGTGTGTCTGTTGTGATGTCCTGGTTGTAAGTTATAGTATTTACCTTGTAAAAATGACCTGTGGTATTTCTCTGCAGCACACCTTTTCTGCTTCTGTAGGCATTTTGCTGCAGTTTTCACACATACACCAGAACAACGTAAAACAATGCAAACACAATGAGCACATATTACTAACATATTACATCTGAAAAAAGCTGAAAAATAAATACCTACCACACTGAAACGTCCTGCTCCAGCCGTCGTGGCAAAAGTTGTGATGGTTGTTCATCCTCTCCTTCGGTTTCATACTCTGGGTCTCACTGGTAAGGATCATTAACCGCCATTGTTGTTTATTTATTTTATTTATTTTATTTATTTATTAGCACACATATAAGAATAAAGCAAAATAGGATTAATAAAAGGTGTGTCAGGAGAGGTCAAGAAGCCAACAGGCTTATACAAGGGACCTCACCTCTTAAGAGACAAATAAATCAACTAAACAAATCGAATTACACAATTTCAAAACAAAATAAAATAAAATAATAAAATAAATGAAATATATATATATACCGGTGTTTTTGCTGCCCTCGAAGCCGGAGCTGCAGACTTCCCAATATGGTAAAAGGGGCGTGAAATTTCCGAGAAGCGTTCTGAGCAACTGACCAATAACGACAGAGCAGATCGACAGACCAATCAGAGCAGACTTGGCCCACGTGGGGTCTAACAGTGTGGGCTCAACAGAGTGTAGCTGACGGACTCAGAGCGTAGAGGGAGCAAGGAGGAGCAGTACATGAAAACAGACACTTTTTTCAAACTTTAGCTATTGTGAACGTACAAAAGTAGCTACATAGATTAAATATACGAACCCCAAAAAGGGCATAATATGGGCTCTTTAAGGCCATCCATAACCTCGCTCCTCTCTACCTCTCTGATCTCCTGCACATCAACACACCCACCCTCACTCTCAGGTCTTCTTCCATTCAACTCACTGCACCACCCGCCCGCCTGTCCACCATGGGGTCCAGGGTCTTCAGCCTCTCTGCCCCTCTCCTCTGGAACTCTCTCCCACCACACATCCGTAAGATTGACTCTCTCTCTATTTTTAAATCTCATCTCAAAACCGGCATTTTCTATCCTATCTCACAAAGATTTCATACTCTGTAAATTTGTCTTTTTAATGTTAATTTGATGGATGTATTGTTACTCTGTTGTTTTTATCTCTGCTTTGTAAATTGACATGGAGTGCGTTGAAATGAAATGTATTATTAAAAAAGAAGCTAATATAAAAAATAATTACAACAACAATACCATAGACCAGCACAGTGCTTCACAGTGTAATGATTTGGCTGCAGTACATTACAGTATTTTTATGTTATCTGCCTTTGAACAAAAACATCCTTCCTGTCGTATCCCATCCTTTGTTCATCACTAACCTGCTGCAAAGAAAAAACATTTAATACAGAAAAGAGAAATAGAGATATTGCATTTAAGATGAACATGAAGTCATCCTCTTCTCCTTCATGAAGCTTGAATCATAACCACTCTGTTGACATAGTCTGCTTCTTCTGCGTCCTGTTTGAATGAAATAACACAGAGAGAGCGGTGTCAGTGCTGTGTGGTGACTTTGATGCAGCTACAAGAGACAAACCAGCAACACTTGAAGTTTATCTCTGCAAATCAAAGTCAGTTTAAGTTTTCCTGAAACACTTTTCACTGTTACCATCTGGTCTCCTGTCGCTGCTGTTGGACCTGAATATCTGAACATCATTTTCTCTGGATCAATTATTTTATGTGACTGTGTTGATCAAATCTTCAAAGAAAGCTCCTAAGATAACTTCTCTCTTTTATAACACGTGCTTCAATCTCATTTTGTAGAAAGAATGATGAACCTGTCCTCATCTAGTAACTCACCTTCACCTGTTTGTTGAAGCATCTTGACTTTAACCAGCTGAAAGAAAAAGAGATCAGATAAAAGAAATAAGAATCAAACACTTACACTGTAAAAATAAAAATGCAATGAGATGAATAATATGAGCCACAAATCTTCATTTCTTATGACAGTTTGTCTCACCACTCAAAGATGATGACTGAACTGCAGAGCAGCACGATTCCCAGGATCTTCAATGTAATGTGGACATCAACCCCAAACAGATCGGAAATCAGATTTTCTGGAACAAGACATCATGATCACCTGCTACTAGATGGAAAAAGCTTTTCATGGCTGTAAGATATCCTGCACTTTAATTTAATCTTTTAACCTCTAATGTGAACGTCTTTGTTTCATTTATTTATGTAGCATTATTACACATGAATTCAGTAAGATTTGTTTTTAGTGAAAACAAACAAATAACCTGACAGATCGAAAAGGAGAGCATGTTGGACACAAATGTGATGATTCAGTTCGAAATTTACCTGCAACACTCAGATGGATCTGTGGTGATGTCTGATTACTGAGATCATTAATGGCCACACAGTAATAAACTCCTCCCTCTGTGGCATTAAAGCTGTAAAACTCTCCTTCAGATACGATCATGGGTCCATCTCTGCTGATCTTGAACCAGGTGAAGCTGCTGACAGGAGGATTGGCTCTGCTGGAGCAGGTCAGGTTCACATGAATACCTGCTGACACCAAACCTGATGGACTGATGGACGCTGAGGTGTTTTTAGGAGAATCTGAGGAAAATGTTAGATAAACATATTTCAATAAAAACAGCAAACATCTTTAAAATCATCTCATTGTGACAGGATCCAATAACAATCTCTGGTTGTCTCACATGAAACTCTGAGAGTCTGTGTCTCCTCTGCTGTCTTGACTTCTTTTCCTTCATTCACAGGATATGTGGCAGAACAGGTGATGTTGTATCCATCATGTTTGTCCGTCAGAGTGATCTGCTCCTGGATTTTAGTCGTGAAGGTTTTAGCTGGGTTTTCCTCCATGTTGTTGAGAGAGTCTTGTTTGAGATTCCAGGTGAGTTTAGGAGGGGAGAGTGGACAGGGAGTGGAAGCTGAGCAGGTTATAGTGACAGACTCCTTCTCCTTCAGATCTCCTGAGATGATTAGTTTGGGGCTCGGAGGAGAATCTGTGTGTTCAAATCAAACAAAGATTACTTTAACCAATAGACTAGCTGACAGTGACTGTCCTTTCTAAAATGTTTTTCTACTATACTCTTCCAAACTTCCAGCCACCGCCTGTCATCATTACCACGTTAATATTCTGTCATGGAAACTTCATGGAGAAGGTTTGTAATGTCATATATAAAAATGTGTGTGTACTTTGTAAAAGGAAGGGTAGGATACTTATCATTGTTACATTGTTGTGTGTGTGTGTGTGTGTGTGTGTGTGTGTGTGTGTGTGTGTGTGTGTGTGTGTGTGTGTGTGTGTGTGTGTGTGTGTGTGCATGTATATGTTTGTGTGTGTATGGGAGAGGAGGGGAGGGTTGAAAAATGTTACAAGGAAAAAATGGTCCTAATGATGTTAAGACAAAAGCTGACAGCACTGTAATTAAAAACTTTAAATTAAAATGTTTTTCTGCTTCTTAGTGTGCCAAGATTGGACCCTTCAATCTCAACCAGTAAAAAGAGTCTCAGTATTTAATCAGAGTTCAACTCGTGCTATGACAATGATTTATTGTTTCTTAATAAAACCTTTATAGTCTGATTAAAAGAAAATGAAACTCTCTTACCTTTGACTTTTATTTGAAGAGGATCACAACGAGCATTTGCCATGAAAGGCCAGTTCATGATTCTGAAGTAGTATACGCCTTCATATGTCGTCTTCATGTTGTAAATCAGAGTGGTGCAGTTTTTCATTCTCAAGTTTCCAGTTATCTTCATTTGAAATTTGTTCACTGTGCCACTACTGTTAAAAACCACATTCTTTGGTATGGTCTCTTTGTCTTCTTTATACCATATTCCAAATGTTTCTCTTGTGTTGTCAAACTCTTTTTCTTCTTTAACACTAAAGCTACATGGGATTTTCAGACAAGTTCCACTCAGTGCTTCCATCTTCTTTGGTGTAGTGATGAAGAGCGCTGACCAATAAGTCCGACATTCATCCGACGCTTCTGTAAAGCAGACCATCAGTTATTATAATGTGGAGCAGGATCTTCATATAGAGGATGTTAATGAGAGTCTAAGAAGTAATGTGGTGTGCTCTGGTCTTTTTCTCTCTTGTTCACAAAGTCAGTCTAAAACATTTCACTTTTCAGTCAGGACATGAAGAGATGAAAGAAGAAACTCTATCTGCACTCTTCTCTCTGCTTTGTTTCTACAGGAAGTTCAAACTGTACAGATTAAACATCTTTGAATGAAAGTAAGTGAACAAACAGCTCACCTGAAAGAGAGAAGACAGTCAGTAACATGATGGCTGTTACCATGTTCACTGACAGGACTGCAGTAACACCCATCACCTGGAATTAAAAACTAAGTTACTCTTCAAAGTCCTCGTTAAAGAGTTGGATGAACAAAACAGTCATTTTCACTTAAAGAAAATAAAAGCTGCTGAAAACTAAAACAATAAAACATAAATAGCAGTCATAGCTGATCTTACCAAACAAACCTCCAGGAGCTTAAACAGAGAAAATGTAGAAAAAAGACGATTTTTAAATTTCAGCAGAACTGCAACAAACCAGTCACCTCGCTGCTAAACACAAAAACCACAAAAGATTTATTCCTTTCTTCTTGTAGTGAGAATGAGGAAGTTAGTGTTTGACTCCTCCTCTGTTTTTTTTTAATTTTTTACCCTTTTTTGGTAGCATCAACTAAAGATGGACAGTTAAGAGAGGAAGAGAGAGAACGTCACCCACTAAAGGACCCAGGTTAGAACTGAACCTGGTCCACTGAGATAAGGACTCATGCTTTAAATGGTACATGCTCTAACAAACGAGCAACATGGCCCTCAAGCTGTTGTTGTATCTTTGTCTTATCTAGAGGGCCTGTTGGTTTAAAAGATTTAATGTGGATAAGAATGATCCAGATTTGGTTCTTTCTATGTGGGTCATGTGATCCAGCTCATTTTTAATCCCTTTTTTAGATCAATCATGGATTTGATCATCCTGATCCAGATACAGACTCTTGGGGATCAACAAATCCAGATCATCAGTCCTCTAAAAGAGACTTCACACTCCATACTTTTCCACAGGGCGCACAAAACTTAAAACAAACTGGAACATGCTCACAGTCACTTTTAATGTCATATTTTGTTTTGATGTTAATGCTATTTGGTGCAACATTTTATGTGAACAACATCACTCATTTTTACAATCTTAATGTGTACCTTATCTACTTTGTCAGTGAAGCAGTACAGCAGGAAAAGAGCCACAGGCCGCCCGCTTGAAGGAGGACTATACTATCACTAATCTTTTTATTACATATGGAAAACAGATTTGGATTCAAATCCTCAAAAGACAAAAACTGGAAAAGTCATTTTTGTATTTTCATCATCTCAAATGTCTCTTTTCATTCATCCTTATTTCTGTTTAGAACATTGAAAGCTTTCCATACAAAGGAAACAACATCGAAGCTAAAAAAAGAAACCAGCACAGTCCTACACAATGTCATGCTCAGACACAAAAACATCAACGTCTTTATCCTCCCTTCTGTGTGAATGAGGAAGTTTGCTTCTGATGTTTTTTTTGTTCAAACTATTTTCTATTTTGCTTTTTTTGGATAGGTGCAGTGTAAGATGGACAGTTAAGTTGAGGTAGAGAGAGAATAACAGCAAAGGGACCAGAACTGAACCTGGTCCACTCACTGTGGTGAGGACTTTAAATAGTACGTGCTCTACCATCTGAGGAACTGGATACCCCAAGCTTTGGCCGTATGTTGAGGTTGTTTATTTTATTGGTTTCATGTTTTAATGAGTGTATAATTTAGTAGAATATTGAATACAACATACATTAGACTTCTCAGTAAATTTAAGAAAATGTAAATACATGAACAACTTCTCCTTTGTACTTACATTTCATATCACACTTCTTACACAGCATCATCAGTTCACTTTAAACCATTTCTCTTTAACCAGAGAAGTGGTCATGAACCACACAGTGACAAACCGAACGCTTTTCACACGAGCGTTTCCTTGCACTTAGAGTGTTGTGGTTTAACACCATTGCAGCCCCCCTCCCTTACTCTCTTGTATGTTGTTATTCATTTCTCTCTGTTTCTCCTCTCCTGTGTGTCCTGAGGTGCATGGCTGTGTGATTGCATGTGGGTGTAGTTTTCTGTGCAGGCAATCTCCCTCTCATTACCGGCAGTTACCTGTCTTGTTTTGTATCTGTTACGACGACGTGCTTTAACTGAATCTTTATTTGCAGTCGTGTACTCTGTACATTCTGGTGAAGTCTTACTAGGAAGGTGAACTTCTCACACATACTAAACAGAACAGGCTCCATCTGCATACACTGCGGACCAATCACAATCAGGCTCAGTCAGCAACCACTAGGAACACATGTTACTAACTTACAACACAACAGTGTTGCTAGGCAACCACAATGATATTCTGTGAGAATATTACATCCCCCTTTTAGAAAAGATAAACGTAACACATACTTTCAATGACAGTATACATGGCATAATGTGCTGTTAGTGAATAAACCCAAATCAAAATGTTTAGTAAAATCAACTCTGCATCAGAATACATCACAGCATATAACCAATGAACATTTTATTTTTAAGGGCAGCGATCTGCCTACACCCTTTACATGAGTTTAGAAGTCCAAAACAGACCTGGGCTTTATCTCTCGTCCGTACCTGGTCTGGTAAGGGACAGTGTGAGGAACTGTTTGAGGGACAGTTTCACTTGTGATCTGTGAGGTGAGTGATGTGGGACTGTGTGGTGTTTGCTGCTCGTTGTCATCAGGTTGTCTGTGTGTGTGTGTGTTGGGTGTTTCTTTTGTGATAAGAAGGTCACGTCTGTTTCTCCTGTACTCTTGTCCTTCAGGTGTGTGTATGTGGTAAGATCTGTTAGTGTCAGCAGGCTGAATGATGACTGCAGGCTTCCAGTATCCTGGATCTTGGAAACGGATGTTTTGTCCTTCGTGCAGCTGTGTCATCTGCTTGGCTGACCTGTCATAATATCGTTTCTGGGTCTGTTGCTGGTGAGCTCTCCTGGTATGAGCACTTTGTTGGCTGACGATCTTGGGCTGAAGCTGCTTGTGGGTGTTGGGTAGGATGGAGCGTAAGTGACGACTCATAAGTAGCTGAGCTGGTGATCTGAAGTTATCAACCGGTGTGTTGTGGTTCTCTGGGAGGCTCAGATAGGCATCCTTGTGATCAGCTTTGGCTTTTTTCAGGAGTGACTTGGCAATTTGCACAGATTTTTCTGCAAGACCATTGCTCTGGGGATAGTATGGACACACACTGATGAGGGTTACATTTTTTTGAATAATAGGAGACTGGGTGTTCCACTCTAACGTGTCCATGCTGAAGGAGGACAGCACCCGCTCCTACGTCAACCGCAACTTTGAAAGGGCGATGAAACACAGGCGCAGCTAAAACCGGAGCATGAGTCATTAAAGAGCCCATATTATGCCCTTTTTGGGGTTCATATATTTAATCTATGTACCTACTAAAGTATGTTCACAATAGCTTGTAGCAGGTTTGACAAGGTTTTAATTGTGGGGTGCCAGTCAGAGTCAAGTCTGACAAACAAAAACTAAATGCAAACAAAAAAATAGCCAACCTGCACAAAATAGGAGCCAAGCAAGAGCAAAAAACAATCAAACAAAACAACAATGGGATTTCAAATATATATATTATCACAGGCATCAACCACACTGCAACAAAATGAATGTGAGAACTGTGTGTGCGTGGTTCACAGTCTGTGTGGAACTCAAAGTTTAGTCCCTTCCGGCAAAAGTACGCTCCGGTAACCCACAACCCACAGTTGAGTCCATTTCAGTTCAATGTTCAAATACAAAACAAAAACTCTGCTCCGGGTTTGAAAACAAATGAGGAAACAAAGTGAAAAGAAAAACCAGCGTCTCTCTTCGCGGTGCAACAATCAAAACACAAAGAAACAAAAGACACACCAGGTACTCACGGTACCAAAGTTTTTAAGTCAGTCAGTAGGTTTAAGTCAGAGTTTGGCTTTTGAATTGAATTGAATTTGCTCTGCTGTAATTGGTCAGTCGCTCAGCATGGTTCTCGGACATGTCATGCCCCTTTTACCATATTGGGAATGCAGCCACTTTGGCTCCGAGGGAAGCAAAAACATTAGCGCCTTAGCATTACTGTGCTACCGCAGGCTACGGCATATCATGTGCGTGCTACAGAAGTTAATGAGCGTACAACATGAGCTGCAGGGCTTGCCACAACGAGCCAATGGGCTTAGATCAGTGATATCACACTGTCACACTGACAATTTTTTTTCAAGGGGGTCTAGAATCGATCGTTACATGCAGCTAATGCTGCAGCTAACAGGAGGACGTAGGAGAAGCCGTGTTTCCGCGGATTTATTTTGCAAATAGATGTGCCTAAACATGCACAGGATACATGGAAAACACACTAAAGAGCATATAAAACCAGAAAAAGAATAATATGGGCCCTTTAAGGCCTTTACGCAGTCAAACGCGCCCTGGCAACTGTCAGACCACTCAAAACGTTTCTTGGGACTCAACAGGTCGGTGAGCGGAGCCGCAACAGCAGAGAAGTTTTCTACAGAAGCTACGATAATATCCTGCCATCCTCAAAAAACGGCGAAGAAGAAGCAGGGAATGACAGGATAGCCTCTACTTTAGAGTGCACCGGCTTGACTTGCCCCTGACCAACGATTTTTCCCAGAAATGTAACTGTACCCTGGCCAAATTCAGACTTTGCTAAATTTAGCGTGAGATTAGCATCACACAGTTTGTCAAACACCGTCCGCAGTTGTTGTATATGTTCGTCCCAGGTACTCGAGTACAGCACAATGTCGTCATGGTACGCCTCACACCCCACACACCTGAGAGCACCGTATTAACCAGACACTGAAAGGTTGCAGGTGCATTTCGCACACCGAACGGCATCATCGTATACTGCAAAAAAGAGTCAGACGTAACAAATGCAGAAATTTCCTTGACTCGAGGAGTTAACAGCACCTGCCAGTAGCCTTTTAGTAGATCAAGTTTTGTTACAAAGTTAACACTATACCGACATGGTTAACACAATCCTCAACTCGAGGCAGAGGATAACAATCCGGTTTATTGACTCCGTTCACTTTCCGGAAATCTGTACAGAAACAATCAGAGCCGTCAGATTTACCCGCAAGGAGGCACGGCGAACTCCACGAACTACAGCTGGGACTCCAGCATGTAGTCAACCTGATTGTTTAGACAGAGACGTTTGTCAGGGTTGACTCTGTAAGCGTGTTGTTTTATTGGGGTTGAATCCCCCACATCAATGTCGTGCTCTAACACATGAGTTTGAGTCAGATCATCAGAAAACAAGGAATTATGAGATTTTATTAAAATAAGCACAACCTCACGTTGGACCTGATTTAAATGTGGAAAACAAGCATCACGTTTGGACAACATCTCAGATGGACAGCTCCGGTGCCGCTTTGACCCGATCGATAAGTTCAGCACTGGACATCGCCAAAACTGCTTTTCTCACTTCACAAAGGGGGAGTAAAGGAGCAGCATGTCTCTCAATGTAGGGCTTTAACATGTGACAAAATCTATTACGTCGCCTGCGTTTTTGAGTGGCTACTATGTTATCCCGGTCATTAATTTTGTCCTTTATTACATAGGGGCCGCTGTAACGAGCCTGCAGAGCAGAACCGGGAATGGGCAACAACATTAGTACTTTGTCACCTGGGCTGAAACTTCGTCTTAATGAAAACACCGCTTCAGAACATTCAGATATAGAAAGTTAAACATCAGGGCCCATATTCACAAACATTCTGAGAATCCTCTCTGAGACCTCCTAACTTCACTTAAAAAATCCTAGAGAGGATTATTGTCTTAGGAGTGATATGGGAACATTCTCAGAGCGACTCTGAGCACAGAAGGGAGGAGGCATAGTTGACCCCGTTGCTATGTATGACACATTTTTTTCAGAAGCTGTGATTGGTTGATCCAAATAATGGAGAGAAGTGCTCTCTAGTGATAATGGACATAGACAGACAGTGAAATCCATAGGGCCCTATCATAGAATCGAGTCAGACATTGTTATTATGAACACTATGAAATAAACATGTGTGTGATAATTATTCAAATGTACACATGATGAGAGTTATATCAGCATTCATTAGATATTGGATTTACCTGTGGAGGTAACCAGGAACTCAACATGCATGTCTCACTTTGCACTGACAAAAGTCTAAGATGGACTCTTAAGGGCTAAGACGCTTTGTGAATAAGTTGAATCATTACAATGATCTAGTCTTAAGTTTAAGGGGAAATTCTTAGAAGTTGTCACTAGGAGCAACTTTTAGTATTTAGGAGGCTTCATGAATAAGGCCACAGCATTACATTAAAAAATATCTCCTTATACATTTAAGTGGGAAAGTAGGGAACAGACTACTTTCCTCTTCCTGCACACTAGCAAGCTTTGCATGACGTAAATCACACATAATACAAATTATTAACTAATAAAGATCATAGAAGGAACCTATAAAAAAGCAATAGTACATTAAGTTAATTCATTTATTACACATACAATTCAGACTATAAACATATTTAAACATCAAAGATTATTTTTCTCAGAATCAATCAAATATTCCTTCAGATTTTCAGTTTCTTCAAAAGTCTCACTTATCATCCTTGTTTGTCTTTTGAAAATTGTTTTTCATAAGAAATAAACAACATGACAAAACCGAGGTTCTCCTAATCGGCACCAAATCCACAATTTCAAAACCTGACAGTTTTTCTCTCCCTGTTGATCACTCCTCAGTTTCTCTCTCCCCTCAGGTTTAGAGTCTGAGTGTCCTCCTCGACAGCACACTATCCTTCAGAGCTCACATCAATAATGTCACTCGGCCCGCTTATTTCCATCTACGTAACTTAAATCACCTCCGCCCGTCCATCACATCCAACAGTACCTCCATCATCGTTCACTCCCTTTTTAAATCTCCCATCCTCACTGTTCCCCCTCTCAAGTCCAACCACAAACTTCAACTGGTCCAGAACTCTGCTGCTTGCATCCTCTCGTGACCCCCCTCCATTAATCACATCGACTTCAAGATTCTGCTCCTCACCTTTTAGTCCATCCATAACCTCGCTCCTCTCTACCTCTCTGATCTCCTGCACATCAACACACCCACCCTCACTCTCAGGTCTTCTTCTTCCATTCAACTCACTGCACCACCCACCCGCCTGTCCACCATGGGGTCCAGGGTCTTCAGCCTCTCTGCCCCCCGCCTCTGGAACTCTCTCCCACCACACATCTGTAAGATTGACTCTCTCTCTATTTTTAAATCTCATCTCAAAACACATCTTTTAAAACGGGCATTTTCTGTCTGATCATTTTCCATCCTATCTCACAAAGATTTCATAGTCTTTAAATTTCTATTTTTAATGTTTATTTGATGGATGTATTGTTACTCTGTTGTTTTTATCTCTGCTTTGTAAGGTGACATGGAGTGCTTTGAAATGAAATGTATTATTATTACAAAAGAAGCTAATATAAAAAAAAAAATAAATAAATAAAAAATACCATAGACCAGCACAGTCCTTCACAGTGTAATGATTTGGCTGCAGTACATTACAGTATTTTTATGTTATCTGCCTTTGAACAAAAACATCCTTCCTGTCGTATCCCATCCTTTGTTCATCACTAACCTGCTGCAAAGAAAAAACATTTAATACAGAAAAGAGAAATAGAGATATTGCATTTAAGATGAACATGAAGTCATCCTCTTCTCCTTCATGAAGCTTGAATCATAACCACTCTGTTGACATAGTCTGCTTCTTCTGCGTCCTGTTTGAATGAAACAACACAGAGAGAGTGGTGTCAGTGCTGTGTGGTGACTTTGATGCAGCTACAAGAGACAAACCAGCAACACTTGAAGTTTATCTCTGCAAATCAAAGTCAGTTTAAGTTCTCCTGAAACACTTTTCACTGTTACCATCTGGTCTCCTGTCGCTGCTGTTGGACCTGAATATCTGAACATCATTTTCTCTGGATCAATTACTTTATGTGACTGTGTTGATCAAATCTTCAAAGAGAGCTCCTCAGATAACTTCTCTCTTTTATAACACGTGCTTAAATCTCATTTTGTAGAACGTGCGGGTCGACGGCAGCACATCAAAAACCATCGTCATGAGCACTGGGGCCCCCCAGGGTTGTGTGCTCAGCCCCCTGCTCGTCACGCTGCTGACCCACGACTGCGCTCCATCCTTCAGCAGCAACTACATTGTGAAGTTCGTGGACGACATAACAGTGGTTGGTCTCATCTCCAACAACGATGAGACGCACTACAGGATGGAGGTCAGCCAACTGGCCACGTGGTGCAGAGACAACAACCTCTTCCTGAACGTCGACAAGACCAAGGAGGTTGTTGTCGACTTCCGGAGAGTCCCCACTCCTAAACCCCCGCTGACCATCGACAGTGCTGCTGTGGAGAGAGTGAGCAGCATCAAGTTCCTGGGGGTTCACATCAGTGAGGATCTCTCCTGGACAACCAACACCACATCACTGGCCAAGAAGTCCCAGCAGGGCCTCTACTTCCTCCGCAAGCTTAAGAGAGCACGAGCCCCCCCATCCATCATGTGCTCCTTCTACAGAGGCACCATCGAGAGCATCCTGACCAGCTGCATCACTGTGTGTAAGCTGCACTGCTGCCAACCGCAAGACCCTGCAGCGCACAGTGAAGGCTGCTGAACCGATTATCGGTGTCCCACTCCCCTCTCTTCTGGACCTCTACGGTACCCGCCTCACCCGCAAAGCAACCAGCATTGTGCATGACCCCACCCACCCCTCACACAGCCTCTTCAGCCTCCTGCCATCGGGGAGACGGTACCGCAGCCTGCGGGCCGGCTCCACCAGACTGGGAAACAGTTTCTTCCACCAAGCTGTCAGGAAGCTTAACTCTCTCCCCGCTCTTCCTTCCCTCCCCTCTGCCCCCACGAACACTGGGCGTTGAAACCCCATCCCATTTTCCACCAAGAACTTTGGACTAAAAACTCTGTACACTCAGTTTACTGCACATTGCAATTACTGCACAAGTTCACTTTTTCTTTAAAATTTATTTTATTGTGTTTTATTTACTACCTTTTGCACAATTTAGGATTTATACCTTTGCACAATTTAGAATTATTACTGTAAATATTATTTATCTTATTTTTACCTCATTTTATTTATCTATTTTTACCTTATCTTATTTCACCTTATTTTGGTTGTTTTGCACCGCGGGACGGAGACAAACGAAATTTCGATTCCACTGTATGTCTGGCATATTTTGAAATTGACAATAAAGTTGACTTTGACTTTGACTTTGAATGATGAACCTGTCCTCATCTAGTAACTCACCTTCACCTGTTTGTTGAAGCATCTTGACTTTAACCAGCTGAAAGAAAAAGAGATCAGAAAAAAGGAATTAGAATCAAACACTGACACTGTAAAAATAAAAATGCAATGAGATGAACAACATGAGCCACAAATCTCCATTTCTTATGACAGTTTGTCTCACCACTCAAAGATGATGACTGAATTGTAGAGCAGCACGATTCCCAGGATCTTCAATGTAATGTGGACATCAACCCCAAATAGATCGGAAATCAGATTTTCTGGAACAAGACATCATGATCACCTGCTACTAGATGGAAAAGCTTTTCATGGCTGTAAGATATCCTGCACTTTAATTTAGTCTTTTAACCTCTAATGTGAACGTCTTTGTTTCATTTATTTATGTAGCATTATTTCACATGAATTCAGTAAGTATTGATTTTTAGTAAAAACAAACAAATAACCAGACAGATCAAAAAGCAGAGCATGTTGGACACAAATGTGATTTTTCAGTTCTAAATGTACCTGATTTCATATGTGGCATATGAAAAAAATCTGAAAAATCACACATAATATAAAAGCATTAAGCATGATTTACTTTATGTGTGATGAAATATTTTGGTGACCCTAGAGCCTACAATGGTGACTTTTTTTTTAATGATATCCATGTTAAAAACACAGTTTCCAAACCAAGTGTCATAGTTTTGGCTAAAAGAGACCCCTACTGTTCAAACTGAGTACTGCTACTAAAAACTGAATTGTAAAGAAATTATGTTGTTTTTGGTAGGTAAAAGAAATCCTCAGAATTGAGTGAAAGCCAAAACTCCCAAACCAAGTGCTGTAGTGTAAACAACATGATATGGAGTACATGTGATGATGTTTATGTCACCCTATAACTTATAATAGTGACTTTATCGATAATTATACCTATCAAGAAAACCTTGAAGTTATATGAAAGCAAATTGTAATACCTGAAGCACATTTTACCAAACTAAGAGTTGTAGTATAATCAAGAGGACATGGTTTATGTGTGCTGTGAGTTTGATGGCACTACAACATGTTATAGTAGTTCTTACATATTTTATTACCAAATTTAATGATAAGAAATCACTGAAATTACATGAAAGCCCTTTATCCAAAGCAATGTGATGTAGTTTATAGAGCAGGAGGACATTTATTCACAATGGGTTTTTGTTTTACCCTACACTTTACAAAAGGGATTTTATTGAACATTGGGTTATAAACTATGGCTATAATAGGCTTTTAAAAAATCCTCAATTTTTATTTTCCAATCTGAGAAATGTAGTATGAAAAACGTGAGATCACATATGTGTAAAATGATTTTCATGACACTACATGAAAAGTTATTGTTTATTTCTGTATCATATGTTTTTCGGCGTTGCAATTTGCAGACGGTCCCTGCGCATTCGAGCACCAGCCGGCTCTGCGTAGAGGCCAATGCAAGTTCCCCAGCGCGGAGGACGGCTCGTTTTGAGGAAAATACGAATGTAGCTCGCAGCAGTCTATCTTGTTGTGATTGCAGAGAGGTGTCGGTTTTGTAAGAGCAATGTTCCGTTGATGAGTTATTGATCCGGGAAAACCGAATCTGTGAATATATTTCTAACTTTACCAAAGTCATTTAGAAGTGATGTCGCGCTGAAACTTTTAGGTGCTCAACACAACACGTTCACCTCTGGGTGACCTAAAAATGAACCATCTGTAATTAAAATCAGGTAATATTAATTTTAATTTACTGTTTTTACAATAAACATCAGGCTCAACGCCGGTGTCCACAACCTACACTTAGTCAGGATGTGTGGAGACGGTCTGGGCCATTACGCATGGCGGAGATGACTGTTTTTTATTTGCACGAGCTGCTCTTTGTAGCTCACTCCATAGGAAGCTTTGTTATCATTAGTAAAACTTTAGTTTTACATCAGTCAAGACAGGAGAAACTGGAAAGAAGTGTGAAGAACTGAAGACCGTCATGATGCGCGCGCAGTGCAGCGGTGTGCCTGTCGTTTAGTCCCGTAGCTTTGATACAATTCTGGCAACTTGTGAGCAAATAAAACTAAAGAAATATCCCCCCCTACGATCTCTCTTGAAAACCTGCATTCTGTGTCACCTCTCTCAGCTGTTCAGCCTGTTTGCTGATTAGCGTAATGCAGGAGCAGCTCGTGCGCTCGGCCACTCGTCTTTTCTATGATACTCCCTGCTGAGAAGATAATTCAAAGTGCCCCGTTTAATTAATATTCGTATCATGATATCAACATTTACGTTGCTGTTTTAATACAATTCCGGGAAAATACGTATTACAAATCTTTAATTTATAAAATACCTCAAAATAGTTTTCAATACATTTCCTCCTTCTTCCCAAAACGGCCGGATGAAACCTGCTGTCGGGCCGTATGTCTGACATCCCTGATAAAGGATGTTAATGAGAGCCTGAGAGAGTAATGTGGTGTGCTCTGGTCTTTTTCTCTCTTGTTCACAAAGTCAGTCTAAAACATTTCACTTTTCAGTCAGGACATGAAGAGATGAAAGAAGAAACTCTATCTGCACTCTTCTCTCTGCTTTGTTTCTACAGGAAGTTCAAACTGTACAGATTAAACATCTTTGAATGAAAGTAAGTGAACAAACAGCTCACCTGAAAGAGAGAAGACAGTCAGTAACATGATGGCTGTTACCATGTTCACTGACAGGACTGCAGTAACACCCATCACCTGGAATTAAAAACTAAGTTACTCTTCAAAGTCCTCGTTAAAGAGTTGGATAAACAAAACAGTCATTTTCACTTAAAGAAAATAAAAGCTGCTGAAAACTAAAACAATAAAACATAAATAGCAGTCATAGCTGATCTTACCAAACAAACCTCCAGGAGCTTAAACAGAGAAAATGTAGAAAAAATATGATTTTTAAATTTCAGCAGAACTGCAACAAACCAGTCACCTCGCTGCTAAGACACAAAAACCCCAAAAGATTTCTTCCTTTCTTCTTGTAGTGAGAATGAGGAAGTTAGTGTTTGACTCCTCCTCTGTTTTATTGAAATTTCTTACCCTTTTTTGGAAGCATCAACTAAAGATGGACAGTTAAGACGAGGAAGAGAGAGAACGTCACCCACTAAAGGACCCAGGTTAGAACTGAACCTGGTCCACTGAGATAAGGACTCATGCTTTAAATGGTACATGCTCTAACAAACGAGCAACATGGCCCTCAAGCTGTTGTTGTATCTTTGTCTTATCTAGAGGGCCTGTTGGTTTAAAAGGTTTAATGTGGATAAGAATGATCCAGATTTGGTTCTTTCTATGTCGGGTCATGTGATCCAGCTCATTTTTAATCCCTTTTTTAGATCAATCATGGATTTGATCATCCTGATCCAGATACAGACTCTTGGGGATCAACAAATCCAGATCATCAGTCCTCTAAAAGAGACTTCACACTCCATACTTTTCCACAAGGCCCACAAAACTTAAAACAAACTGGAACATGCTCACAGTCACTTTTAATGTCATATTTTGTTTTGATGTTAATGCTATTTGGTGCAACATTTTATGTGAACAACATCACTCATTTTTACAATCTTAATGTGTACCTTATCTACTTTGTCAGTGAAGCAGTACAGCAGGAAAAGAGCCACAGGCCGCCCGCTTGAAGGAGGACTATACTATCACTAATCTTTTTATTACATATGGAAAACAGATTTGGATTCAAATCCTCAAAACACAAATCTGGATAAGTCATTTTTGTATTTTCATCATCTCAATTGTCTCTTTTCATTCATCCTTATTTCTGTTTAGAACATTAAAAGCTTTCCATACAAAGGAAACAACATCGAAGTTAATAAAAAGAAACCAGCACAGTCCTACACAATGTCATGCTCAGACACAAAAACATCAACGTCTTTATCCTCCCTTCTGTGTGAATGAGGAAGTTTGCTTCTGATGTTTTTTTATGTTAAAAATATTTTCTATTTTGCTTTTTTTGGATAGGTGCAGTGTAAGATGGACAGTTAAGTTGAGGTAGAGAGAGAATAACAGCAAAGGGACCAGAACTGAACCTGGTCCACTCACTGTGGTGAGGACTTTAAATAGTACGTGCTCTACCATCTGAGGAACTGGATACCCCAAGCTTTGGCCGTATGTTGAGGTTGTTTATTTTATTGGTTTCATGTTTTAATGAGTGTATAATTTAGTAGAATATTGAATACAACATACATTAGACTTCTCAGTAAATTTAAGAAAATGTAAAGACATGAACAACTTCTCCTTTGTACTTACATTTCATATCACACTTCTTACACAGCATCATCAGTTCACTTTAAACCATTTCTCTTTAACCAGAGAAGTGGTCATGAACCACACAGTGACAAACACTTTTCACACGAGCGTTTCCTTGCACTTAGAGTGTTGTGGTTTAACACCATTGCAGCCCCCCTCCCTTACTCTCTTGTATGTTGTTATTCATTTCTCTCTGTTTCTCCTCTCCTGTGTGTCCTGAGGTGCATGGCTGTGTGATTGCATGTGGGTGTAGTTTTCTGTGCAGGCAATCTCCCTCTCATTACCGGCAGTTACCTGTCTTGTTTTGTATCTGTTACGACGACGTGCTTTAACTGAATCTTTATTTGCAGTCGTGTACTCTGTACATTCTGGTGAAGTCTTACTAGGAAGGTGAACTTCTCACACATACTAAACAGAACAGGCTCCATCTGCATACACTGCGGACCAATCACAATCCTGCTCAGTCAGCAACCAATAGGAACACATGTTACTAACTTACAACACAACAGTGTTGCTAGGCAACCACAATGATATTCTGTGAGAATATTACACCCCCCTTTTAGAAAAGATAAACGTAACACATACTTGTAATTACAGTATACATGGCATAATGTGCTGTTAGTGAATAAACCCAAATCAAAATGTTTAGTAAAATCAACTCTGCATCAGAATACATCACAGCATATAACCAATGAACATTTTTTTTTAAGGGCAGCGATCTGCCTACACCCTTTTACATTAGTTTAGAAGTCCAAAACAGACCTGGGCTTTATCTCTCGTCCGTACCTGGTCTGGTAAGGGACAGTGTGAGGAACTGTTTGAGGGACAGTTTCACTTGTGATCTGTGAGGTGAGTGATGTGGGACTGTGTGGTGTTTGCTGCTCGTTGTCATCAGGTTGTCTGTCTGTGTGTGTTGGGTGTTTCTTTTGTGATAAGAAGGTGACGTCTGTTTCTCCTGTACTCTTGTCCTTCAGGTGTGTGTATGTGGTAAGATCTGTTAGTGTCAGCAGGCTGAATGATGACTGCAGGCTTCCAGTATCCTGGATCTTGGAAACGGATGTTTTGTCCTTCGTGCAGCTGTGTCATCTGCTTGGCTGACCTGTCATAATATCGTTTCTGGGTTTGTTGCTGGTGAGCTCTCCTGGTATGAGCACTTTGTTGGCTGACGATCTTGGGCTGAAGCTGCTTGTGGGTGTTGGGTAGGATGGAGCGTAAGCGACGACTCATAAGTAGCTGAGCTGGTGATCTGAAGTTATCAACCGGTGTGTTGTGGTACTCTGGGAGGCTCAGATAGGCATCCTTGTGATCAGCTTTGGCTTTTTTCAGGAGTGACTTGGCAATTTGCACAGATTTTTCTGCAAGACCATTGCTCTGGGGATAGTATGGACTTGTAGTGATATGGTTAAACTCCCATGTTTTTACAAAGGTTTCAAATTATTTACACTTGTACTGGGGGCCACTATCTGATACAACAGTCTCTGGTATGCCGTGTCTGGCAAAAGCTGATTTCAGTTTATGTTTAGGCTAGTATCGGACCTGGTTCACGTGTGACTTGCTCCTTCATTTTCCTGAATGCTTCGTCGTGTTATGTATCACAAACAAACTCACTTGACTCCTTTGAAAGGTGTCGCATGAGGGCATTGATGTCTGAGAGCATGGGGGCAAACTTTGACAAGTAATTAACCATGCCAAGAATATTCTCTAGCTCACCTTCATTTCTGGGTGGCTCCATGTCTCTTACAGCAGAAATCTTTGCTGGATCAGGCTTGATTCCATTTTGGAGATGTGGTGACCAAAGTAGCTGACCTCTGTGGTACAGATTTTGCTCTTCTCTGGGTTGAGTTTAACTCCTCGCTCTCTGGAGCGTTGCAGCATTGCACGGAGGTTTTCGTCATGCTCCTCTTTGCTTTTGTCCTCCATCAGAACATCATCGACAATAGCAGTGACGCCTTGTAGACCTTCATAAGTCTCATCAACTTTCCGCTGAAACTCATCTTGAGCTGATTTTAGTCAAAAGGTAGGCGGAGAAATCTGTATCGTCTAAATGACATGACAGGATAGCCTCTTCTTTAGAGTGCACCGGCTTGACTTGCCCCCGACCGACGATTTTTCCCAGAAATGTAACTGTACCCTGGCCAAATTCACATTTTACTAAATTTAGCATGAGATTAGCGTCACACAGTTTGTCAAACACCGTCCGCAGTTGTTGTATATGTTCGTCCCAGGTGCTCGAGTACACCACAATGTCGTCATGGTACGCCTCACACCTCCCAAACCTGAGAGCACCGTATTAACCAGGCACTGAAAGGTTGCAGGCGCATTTCGCACACCGAACGGCATCATCGTATACTGCAAAAAAGAGTCAGACGTAACAAACGGAGAAATTTCCTTTGCTCGAGGAGTTAACAGCACCTGCCAGTAGCCTTTTAGTAGATCGAGTTTTGTTACAAAGTTAACACTATACCGACATGGTCAACACAATCCTCAACTCGAGGCAGAGGATAACAATCTCCATTCACTTTCCAGAAATCCATACAAAAACGATCAGAGCCGTCAGATTTACCCACAAGGAGGCACGGCGAACTCCACGAACTACAGCTGGGACTCCAGCATGTAGTCAACCTGATTGTTTAGACGGAGACGTTTGTCAGGGTTGACTCTGTAAGCGTGTTGTTTTATCGGGGTTGAATCCCCCACATCAATGTCGTGCTCTGACACATGAGTTTGAGTCAGAACATCAGAAAACAAGGAATTATGAGATTTTATTAAAATAAGCACATCCTCGCGTTGGACCTGATTTAAATGTGGAAAACAAGCATCAAGTTTGGACAACATCTCAGATGGACAGCTCCGGTGCCGCTTTGACCCGATCGATAAGTTCAGCACTGGACATCGCCAAAACTGCTTTTCTCACTTCACCGAAAGGGAGTAAGGAGCAGCATGTCTCTCAATGTAGGGCTTTAAAATGATAATGTGACAAAATCTATTACGTCGCATGCGTTGTTGAGTGGCTACTATGTAATCCCGGTCATTAGTTTTGTCCTTTATTACATAGGGGCCGCTGTAACGAGCCTGCAGAGCAGAACCGGGAATGGGCAACAACATTAGTACTTTGTCACCTGGGCTGAAACTTCTGTTTTTCACGTCTTAATAAAAACACAGCTTCAGAACATTCAGATATAGAAAGTTAAACATCAGGGCCCATATTCACAAACATTCTGACAATCCTCTCTGAGACCTCCTAACTTCACTTAAAAAATCCTAGAGAGGATTATTGGCTTAGGAGTGATATGGGAACATTCTCAGAGCGACTCTGAGCACAGAAGGGAGGAGGCATAGTTGACCCCGTTGCTATGTATGACACATTTTTTTCAGAAGCTGTGATTGGTTGATCCAAATAATGGAGAGAAGTGCTCTCTAGTGATAATGGACATAGACAGACAGTGAAATCCATAGGGCCCTATCATAGAATCGAGTCAGACATTATGTTATTATGAACAATATTAAATTAACACGTGTGATAATTATTCAAATGTACACATGATGAGAGTTATATCAGCATTTATTAGATATTGGATTTACCTGTGGAGGTAACCAGGAACTCAACATGCATGTCTCACTTTGCACTGACAAAAGTCTAAGATGGACTCTTAAGGGCTAAGACGCTTTGTGAATAAGTTGAATCATTACAATGATCTAGTCTTAAGTTTAAGGGGAAATTCTTAGAAGTTGTCACTAGGAGCAACTTTTAGTATTTAGGAGGCTTCATGAATAAGGCCACAGCATTACATTAAAAAATATCTCCTTATACATTTAAGTGGGAAAGTAGGGAACAGACTACTTTCCTCTTCCTGCATACAAGCAAGCTTTGCATGACGTAAATTACACATAATACAGATGATTAACTAATAAAGATCATAGAAGGAACCTATAAAAAAAGCAATAGTACATTAAGTTAATTCATTTATTACACATACAATTCAGACTATAAACATATTTAAACATTAAAGATTATTTTTCTCAGAATCAATAAAATATTCCTTCAGATTTTCAGTTTCTTCTTATCAAAAGTCTCACTTATCATCCTTGTTTGTCTTTTGAAAATTGTTTTTCATAAGAAAGAAACAGCATGACAAAACCGAGGTTCTCCTAATCGGCACCAAATCCACAATTTCAAAACCTGACAGTTTTTCTCTCCCTGTTGATCACTCCTCAGTTTCTCTCTCCCCTCAGGTTTAGAGTCTGAGTGTCCTCCTCGACAGCACACTATCCTTCAGAGCTCACATCAATAATGTCACTCGGCCCGCTTATTTCCATCTACGTAACTTAAATCACCTCCGCCCGTCCATCACATCCAACAGTACCTCCATCATCGTTCACACCCTTTTTAAATCTCCCATCCTCACTGTTCCCCCTCTCAAGTCCAACCACAAACTTCAACTGGTCCAGAACTCTGCTGCTTGCATCCTCTTGTGACCCCCCTCCATTAATCACATCGACTTCAAGATTCTGCTCCTCACCTTTAATAACTTCTTAGAGATCTTGCAAAATAATGCCAAAAAACGCCTATCCAGACATACCCAAAGCAAATTGTATGCTGTTTTTGAACCATTTAGAGTTACAGCTCAAACAAGGTCACATTTGAAAGGTAACACTCTGTAGTTTCTTCCCAAACAGCCATAATCACAGTTTTTACGACTGGTATTGAATAATACAAGCTGAAACTACAAATAAAAAAATAATTTTGTTTCCGCCTGAATATTTTCTTTAAAAATAAGCCAATAGATGACTACAGCTGGGCGCTATTAGCTTGAAAGGTGATTTGGGCTGTGTCATAAAGCCTTACCTAGTTTCAGTCCAAATTTGACAAATTTGCTGTTTTTCTATGGGTATGTCAAGGCGTTTCCAAACTGTGCCATTTGGAGACTCCAAAAGGACCCTTGGTAACCATGATGACATACCTGGGATAAAAAGGCTGCTACTCCTGAACGCTTTGACGTACATGCATCATTCTTGGCTCTATGAAAAGGTAACAATTAGAGCTACGCTATACAATACTCAGAATCACTATCAGTATTGCTGAAATAGATTTATAGAAGCATAAACACATTTAAAGTGCATTTTTCTAGCTTCGTGCATTACCGTTCTGTGTAAAAAATGAGTAGAAACAAGTGTTATTGTGGAAAACTCTTGCAACACAGCAAACTTTAGAAAACACACATATTTACATTATTTACAAACTATCTTTATGAGTGACATCCTACAAGTTATTTGCAACATGCCAGTCATTATAACAGTCTCTCTTGGGAATAAAGCACAAGGGCACATCATATGAGGCACATTTCAATGGGGTCTTTTTGTGACAATACTTGCACTTTCGCCGACCAATGGTGCGGTCCATGCTGATGTGCACTGGCCTATGGTGTGTTCCACTTGGAGGAGGAGTTTGTATGGTTCTGGCTGTGGAGCTAGACCCCACTTTTGCACCTGGATGTACAGAAAAAGAAACAACAGTGAGAAATATATACCAAAACATGATTATCTATAGGACGCAAATTTTTATTTTTCAAACGGCAAAAAAACACATTTGAATATAGTGTACATACCGGTTGTAGTCTTTGACAGCTCGGGGAACAGGAACATCCTTCAATTCCCAGCGACCATCTGCACCTTTGACTCTCCTCTGGACTGTCACCTGCATGTGCTGTGTGAAGAGTTGAGCACATGAAGACATCCCTTGTGTCTCCCTTGTGAAAATGAATAGATAACAGTTAGTAATTACAAAATTGGACAAACTTTCACATACTTTTTGTGTTACCCCAGAGATACCCAGATACACACCCCTCCCTAAGAGACCAAAGGTAACACCTCATGATACACACAAAATACATTGTGTTTGACTCGTGCCTGAGGGAACTTTTTGAAACCTGTCCCGTGTGTAGGAGGCAGTCTGAGGTTCAGCGGCAATGCATGGGCACATTTGTGGCTTTTAAACAGTTTTGCCACAACTGCAACTATTCCAGAAAGTGGCAGAGCCAGTCCATTGTTGGCAGCACCCCTGTGGGAAATCTGGAGTTATCTGCAGCTACATACTTCACAGGCGCTTCATTCTTCCAGCTGGGAAAGGTAGGTCTCTATATCTTAATATTTCAATCTTTTTCTGCAGTTTTTTTTTCTCTTTGTTGAACTATAGGTGTGTAAGGCAATACAACTCCAAATGTTCCAGTATGACACCTTCAGGAGACATGCAAGAATTTTTTTTGAGCCAGCCATTATCCACAAATGGAACAACGACCAACAAGCTATGTTTCAGGATCTCCAACACAGAGGGAAGGTTGCAGTTGGTGGTGACATGCGTGCGGACTCGCCTGGTAATTATTTGACTTCTTCATTGTTAAAATCCTCATCTTCATATATTCGGTTTTAATTACAAATTCTTGCAACTTACCGTTGGTTTTTTATTTACTTATATTCTAGCTCACTCTGCCAAATTTGGAAGTTACACACTCATGCACCTGGAGAGCAACAAGATCCTTGATCTTCAACTTGTGCAGGTGAGATACATCTCCTATTCTCATGTAATAGACAGGAAACTATTTGAAACATTCTCCAACATTCATACTTTCCACTTTTTTTTCCACCACAAGAGCAATGAGGTCGGTGGTAGTTACCACATGGAAAAGGAGGGACTGAAGCGATCTCTAGATTGTCTGGAATCTAATGGTTTGGAGGTTGATTACATTGTAACAGACCGCCATCCACAGATTCGGAAATATCTGAGAGGACGCAGCATCACCCAGTTCTATGATGTTTGGCACTTTAAAAAGGGTAAATATTCATGTCTTAATTTGATAGACACATACTGTCACTTTAGCATGCCTTCCTCAAACTATATATTTAATATTCATTCATTGTTTGTATCCCTGCTATCAGGTCTGTCAAAGAAATTAGATAAACTTGGAGAGAACAAAGACTGCCCGGTGGTGAACAAGTGGCTCCGTTCCATAAAGAACCACATTTACTGGAGCGCAACATCATCTACATCAGGACCAGAGAAGGTGGCCAAGTTCACATCCATGTTCAACCACATTCAGGATGTGCATGAGCATGAAAACTCTCTCTTTCCTGAGTGTACTCATCCAAAGTATTGGTTCCAACCAGGTATGCAAACAGCACTCATGTAAAAAAATGATGAATGGCTTATGTACAGTTTTATGGAACTTCCTGTTTTTTTAATTTATTCTAATTTTAATTTTGTGTTTTTACTCTCGGGTCAGTGGCTCTACATCGTCTAGAGAAAATGTTGAATAACAAGAGGGTCTTGAAGGATGTGGAGAATCTGAGCCACCATTATCAAACCTCTGCACTTGAGTCCTACCACAGCCTGCTGCTTCGTTTCACACCGAAGAATGTGGTCTTTCCATTCATGGGAATGTTGTGCAGGTATGCTGTAGAACTTTACAAATACATTTTTGTTGTTAGGCCTGTTGTACCACCCTCTAACAAATTAACCAATTGCTGATATATCTGACCAATAATATCAGAAACATATGATTTCATTATATAATTGCTGATTTTACCTTTTTGTATTGTAGGTTGTTTCTGTCAGTGATTCATTACAATGAAAATGCTGAACGCGAGCAAGCAACAACCTCTACAGGACAGCCGATCTACAAGTCAAAACAGATCCAACATACATTAAGTTACAAATTATTTTATTTTTCTAAACACAAAAGAACAATTTTAAATACTTTCAGAAACAGTAAAAAACGGATGACAGAAAAATGAGCAATAAACAAATTATACATATATATTTTTTTTTCAGAATATGTTGGGTACTTGATTGCACTGGTGTTTGAAGAGGTTCCCGGACCTCGCATCATTTCTTGAGGAGCTTCAGAGAATACCAGTCCTCAAGGATCTTGCCTCAGACTTTGTCCCTCAAAAGAGGAAGTAGTGGCTTGACACAAGTCCAGGTTCAGCCAAGCGGCGGGCGGAAGCCAAGATACTGTCCGGTCGGGTCTGGAAACTCAAGCCGGATCCTCAGGACAACACACGACGGGATGACTACTCTGCAGTTGCGTCCCAAATATCCCCAGCACCAGCTCACACAGCTACGATAGGCCAAGTGTCTGTAAAGCCTGTATGGAGACATAAAAATGTTCTCATTGTATATTACATTGTATAGTTCTCTCTCATTTCCTTTTGTTTAACTTTAGCTGCAAATAAAGAATTTACAAAAAAGGTTTTGTAACTTGTTTACTTTTATTCATATTGAATAATGGAAATGAACTGTTTGTTTAGAATCATTTTTTATATTTTACATACTCTTCTGCTGTTCTCCCTCTCAAAGGCCCGTAGTCCACTGGAAGAATGTTGTGTATATTTTGGAGTGTATATGGGTTAAGACTGTTTGCTTCTAGCCCCGGATGTTGAGTCATGCAGGTGGAAGGAACAGGTGTTACACCCCTGTACAGCGTACTGTAAGGGGAGAAATAAAGAAGAAACAAACAAACACATTGTTGCTGGCTTTCATTCAATGGTGTAATGAATGACGCTCAGACAACACGCTCCCCCTGCTGGCGTAAAACCGGAAGTGTAAAACAATAACAAAAGCTTAAGACCAAACCAATCAATTACCGATATGCTTTTAAACTTAACCTTAGCAACATGAATTAACATTAAATTATAACTAGCTTTTTAGCGTTTTTAAAGGATATACAACATTTTAGAAAGACATAGTTTTAACATGTGTTATTAATTTAACTTAGTGCACAATCTTATATCCATTACACAGGCAGCTCATTCATTCTCCAGATGACCTAATAAAAAGAACAAGATACTGATTAAAATGAAATAATAATACTCCATCAGTACAGTAATAATGGGGCAATTAATGACAGAGTAGGCAAAATTATTGCATGGTACACATATTGATCTAATTTACACATGATTATCACCTGGGCTTTTGTAGAATAGGTAGCTAACAGTTATATGATGAACTTGATACACACAATTGTAAACTGAATTTTTAATCACAGCAAGGAGGTGATTTACAATGCAGTACAAGGTGAGGTGAGTGGCTTCACCGTTATTCATTTAAGCATGTACAGTACTAATGTAAATTTATAGCCAAACTTTGTTAAGCCACAAGTACAACAGATATTTTTTGATTGGGGAAATATGTTGGTAGTTCTAGTCACTGAAATTAGAAGAGGCTAACGCATTTTTCAAAACAATAACGTTGAATGTTTTTATGATGAAAAGACATGATGCAAACATAACATGCTTTGTGTGTGTCTGTTGTGATGTCCTGGTTGTAAGTTATAGTATTTACCTTGTAAAAATGACCTGTGGTATTTCTCTGCAGCACACCTTTTCTGCTTCTGTAGGCATTTTGCTGCAGTTTTCACACATACACCAGAACAACGTAAAACAATGCAAACACAATGAGCACATATTACTAACATATTACATCTGAAAAAAGCTGAAAAATAAATACCTACCACACTGAAACGTCCTGCTCCAGCCGTCGTGGCAAAGGTTGTGATGGTTGTTCATCCTCTCCTTCGGTTTCAGACTCCGGGTCTCACTGGTAAGGATCATTAACCGCCATTGTTGTTTGTATATTTTATTTATTTTATTTATTTATTAGCACACATATAAGAATAAAGCAAAATAGGATTAATAAAAGGTGTGTCAGGAGAGGTCAAGAAGCCAACAGGCTTATACAAGGGACCTCACCTCTTAAGAGACAAATAAATCAACTAAACAAATCGAATTACACAATTTCAAAACAAAATAAAATAAAATAATAAAATAAATGAAATATATATATACCGGTGTTTTTGCTGCCCTCGAAGCCGGAGCTGCAGACTTCCCAATATGGTAAAAGGGGCGTGAAATTTCCGAGAAGCGTTCTGAGCAACTGACCAATAACGACAGAGCAGATCGACAGACCAATCAGAGCAGACTTGGCTCACGTGGGGTCTAACAGTGTGGGCTCAACAGAGTGTAGCTGATGGACTCAGAGCGTAGAGGGAGCAAGGAGGAGCAGTACATGAAAACAGAAACTTTTTTCAAACTTTAGCTATTGTGAACGTACAAAAGTAGCTACATAGATTAAATATACGAACCCCAAAAAGGGCATAATATGGGCTCTTTAAGCCCATCCATAACCTCGCTCCTCTCTACCTCTCTGATCTCCTGCACATCAACACACCCACCCTCACTCTCAGGTCTTCTTCCATTCAACTCACTGCACCACCCGCCCGCCTGTCCACCATGGGGTCCAGGGTCTTCAGCCTCTCTGCCCCTCTCCTCTGGAACTCTCTCCCACCACACATCCGTAAGATTGACTCTCTCTCTATTTTTAAATCTCATATCAAAACCGGCATTTTCTATCCTATCTCACAAAGATTTCATACTCTGTAAATTTGTCTTTTTAATGTTAATTTGATGGATGTATTGTTACTCTGTTGTTTTTATCTCTGCTTTGTAAATTGACATGGAGTGTGTTGAAATGAAATGTATTATTAAAAAAGAAGCTAATATAAAAAATAATTACAACAACAATACCATAGACCAGCACAGTCCTTCACAGTGTAATGATTTGGCTGCAGTACATTACAGTATTTTTATGTTATCTGCCTTTGAACAAAAACATCCTTCCTGTCGTATCCCATCCTTTGTTCATCACTAACCTGCTGCAAAGAAAAAACATTTAATACAGAAAAGAGAAATAGAGATATTGCATTTAAGATGAACATGAAGTCATCCTCTTCTCCTTCATGAAGCTTGAATCATAACCACTCTGTGGACATAGTCTGCTTCTTCTGCGTCCTGTTTGAATGAAATAACACAGAGAGAGCAGTGTCAGTGCTGTGTGGTGACTTTGATGCAGCTACAAGAGACAAACCAGCAACACTTGAAGTTTATCTCTGCAAATCAAAGTCAGTTTAAGTTTTCCTGAAACACTTTTCACTGTTACCATCTGGTCTCCTGTCGCTGCTGTTGGACCTGAATATCTGAACATCATTTTCTCTGGATCAATTACTTTATGTGACTGTGTTGATCAAATCTTCAAAGAAAGCTACTCAGATAACTTCTCTCTTTTATAACACGTGCTTCAATCTCATTTTGTAGAAAGAATGATGAACCTGTCCTCATCTAGTAACTCACCTTCACCTGTTTGTTGAAGCATCTTGACTTTAACCAGCTGAAAGAAAAAGAGATCAGATAAAAGAAATAAGAATCAAACACTTACACTGTAAAAATAAAAATGCAATGAGATGAATAACATGAGCCACAAATCTTCATTTCTTATGACAGTTTGTCTCACCACTCAAAGATGATGACTGAACTGCAGAGCAGCACGATTCCCAGGATCTTCAATGTAATGTGGACATCAACCCCAAACAGATCGGAAATCAGATTTTCTGGAACAAGACATCATGATCACCTGCTACTAGATGGAAAAAGCTTTTCATGGCTGTAAGATATCCTGCACTTTAATTTAATCTTTTAACCTCTAATGTGAACATCTCTGTTTTATTTATTTATGTAGCATTATTACACATGAATTCAGTAAGATTTGTTTTTAGTGAAAACAAACAAATAACCTGACAGATCGAAAAGGAGAGCATGTTGGACACAAATGTGATGATTCAGTTCGAAATTTACCTGCAACACTCAGATGGATCTGTGGTGATGTCTGATTACTGAGATCATTCCTGGCCACACAGTAATAAACTCCTCCCTCTGTGGCATTAAAGCTGTAAAACTCTCCTTCAGATACGATCATGGGTCCATCTCTGCTGATCTTGAACCAGGTGAAGCTGCTGACAGGAGGATTGGCTCTGCTGGAGCAGGTCAGGTTCACATGAATACCTGCTGACACCAAACCTGATGGACTGATGGACGCTGAGGTGTTTTTAGGAGAATCTGAGGAAAATGTTAGATAATTGTATTTCATTAAAAACAGCAAACATCTTTAAAATCATCTCATTCTGACAGGATCCAATAACAATCTCTGGTTGTCTCACATGAAACTCTGAGAGTCTTTTTCTCCTCTGCTGTCTTGACTTCTTTTCCTTCATTCACAGGATATGTGGCAGAACAGGTGATGTTGTATCCATCATGTTTGTCCGTCAGAGTGATCTGCTCCTGGATTTTAGTCATGAAGGTTTTATCTGGGTTTTCCTCCATGTTGTTGAGAGAGTCTTGTTTGAGATTCCAGGTGAGTTTAGGAGGGGAGAGTGGACAGGGAGTGGAAGCTGAGCAGGTTATAGTGACAGACTCCTTCTCCTTCAGATCTCCTGAGATGATTAGTTTGGGGCTCGGAGGAGAATCTGTGTGTTCAAATCAAACAAAGATTACTTTAACCAATAGACTAGCTGACAGTGACTGTCCTTTCTAAAATGTTTTTCTACTATACTCTTCACAAACTTCCAGCCACCGCCTGTCATCATTACCACGTTAATATTCTGTCATGGAAACTTCATGGAGAAGGTTTGTAATGTCATATATAAAAATGTGTGTGTGCTTTGTAAGAAGGAAGGGTAGGATACTTATCATTGTTACATTGTTGTTGTGTGTGTGTGTGTGTGTGTGTGTGTGTGTGTGTGTGTGTGTGTGTGTGTGTGTGTGTGTGTGTGTGTGTGTGCATGTATATGTTTGTGTGTGTATGGGAGAGGAGGGGGAGGGTTGAAAAATGTTACAAGGAAAAAATGGTCCTAATGATGTTAAGACAAAAGCTGACAGCACTGTAATTAAAAACTTTAAATTAAAATGTTTTTCTGCTTCTTAGTGTGCCAAGATTGGACCCTTCAATCTCAACCAGTAAAAAGAGTCTCAGTATTTAATCAGAGTTCAACTCGTGCTATGACAATGATTTATTGTTTCTTAATAAAACCTTTATAGTCTGATTAAAAGAAAATGAAACTCTCTTACCTTTGACTTTTATTTGAAGAGGATCACAACGAGCATTTGCCATGAAAGGCCAGTTCTCGATTCTGAAGTAGTATACGCCTTCATATGTCGTCTTCATGTTGTAAATCAGAGTGGTGCAGTTTTTCATTCTCAAGTTTCCAGTTATGTTCATTTGAAATTTGTTCACTGTGCCACTACTGTTAAAAACCACATTCTTTGGATGTAGGTCTTCTGTCTTCTTTATACCATATTCCAAATGTTTCTGTTGTGTTGTCAAACTCTTTTTCTTCTTTAACACTAAAGCTACATGGGATTTTCAGACAAGTTCCACTCAGTGCTTCCATCTTCTTTGGTGTAGTGATGAAGAGCGCTGACCAATAAGTCCGACATTCATCCCACGCTTCTGTAAAGCAGACCATCAGTTATTATAATGTGGAGCAGGATCTTCATATAGAGGATGTTAATGAGAGTCTAAGAAGTAATGTGGTGTGCTCTGGTCTTTTTCTCTCTTGTTCACAAAGTCAGTCTAAAACATTTCACTTTTCAGTCAGGACATGAAGAGATGAAAGAAGAAACTCTATCTGCACTCTTCTCTCTGCTTTGTTTCTACAGGAAGTTCAAACTGTACAGATTAAACATCTTTGAATGAAAGTAAGTGAACAAACAGCTCACCTGAAAGAGAGAAGACAGTCAGTAACATGATGGCTGTTACCATGTTCACTGACAGGACTGCAGTAACACCCATCACCTGGAATTAAAAACTAAGTTACTCTTCAAAGTCCTCGTTAAAGAGTTGGATGAACAAAACAGTCATTTTCACTTAAAGAAAATAAAAGCTGCTGAAAACTAAAACAATAAAACATAAATAGCAGTCATAGCTGATCTTACCAAACAAACCTCCAGGAGCTTAAACAGAGAAAATGTAGAAAAAAGACGATTTTTAAATTTCAGCAGAACTGCAACAAACCAGTCACCTCGCTGCTAAAACACAAAAACCACAAAAGATTTATTCCTTTCTTCTTGTAGTGAGAATGAGGAAGTTAGTGTTTGACTCCTCCTCTGTTTTTTTTTTTTACATTTTTTACCCTTTTTTGGTAGCATCAACTAAAGATGGACAGTTAAGATGAGGAAGCGAGAGAACGTCACCCACTAAAGGACCCAGGTTAGAACTGAACCTGGTCCACTGAGATAAGGACTCATGCTTTAAATGGTACATGCTCTAACAAACGAGCAACATGGCCCTCAAGCTGTTGTTGTATCTTTGTCTTATCTGGAGGGCCTGTTGGTTTAAAAGATTTAATGTGGATAAGAATGATCCAGATTTGGTTCTTTCTATGTCGGGTCATGTGATCCAGCTCATTTTTAATCCCTTTTTTAGATCAATCATGGATTTGATCATCCTGATCCAGATACAGACTCTTGGGGATCAACAAATCCAGATCATCAGTCCTCTAAAAGAGACTTCACACTCCATACTTTTCCACAGGGCGCACAAAACTTAAAACAAACTGGAACATGCTCACAGTCACTTTTAATGTCATATTTTGTTTTGATGTTAATGCTATTTGGTGCAACATTTTATGTGAACAACATCACACATTTTATACAATCTTAATGTGTACCTTATCTACTTTGTCAGTGAAGCAGTACAGCAGGAAAAGAGCCACAGGCCGCCCACTTGAAGGAGGACTATACTATCACTAATCTTTTTATTACATATGGAAAACAGATTTGGATTCAAATCCTCAAAAGACAAAAACTGGAAAAGTCATTTTTGTATTTTCATCATCTCAAATGTCTCTTTTCATTCATCCTTATTTCTGTTTAGAACATTGAAAGCTTTCCATACAAAGGAAACAACATCGAAGCTAAAAAAAAGAAACCAGCACAGTCCTACACAATGTCATGCTCAGACACAAAAACATCAACGTCTTTATCCTCCCTTCTGTGTGAATGAGGAAGTTTGCTTCTGATGTTTTTTTTTGTTCAAACTATTTTCTATTTTGCTTTTTTTGGATAGGTGCAGTGTAAGATGGACAGTTAAGTTGAGGTAGAGAGAGAATAACAGCAAAGGGACCAGAACTGAACCTGGTCCACTCACTGTGGTGAGGACTTTAAATAGTACTGTCTCTACCATCTAGGAACTGGATACCCCAAGCTTTGGCTGTATGTTGAGGTTGTTTATTTTATTGGTTTCATGTTTTAATGAGTGTATAATTTAGTAGAATATTGAATACAACATACATTAGACTTCTCAGTAAATTTAAGAAAATGTAAATACATGAACAACTTCTCCTTTGTACTTACATTTCATATCACACTTCTTACACAGCATCATCAGTTCACTTTAAACCATTTCTCTTTAACCAGAGAAGTGGTCATGAACCACACAGTGACAAACGCTTTTCACACGAGCGTTTCCTTGCACTTAGAGTGTTGTGGTTTAACACCATTGCAGCCCCCCTCCCTTACTCTCTTGTATGTTGTTATTCATTTCTCTCTGTTTCTCCTCTCCTGTGTGTCCTGAGGTGCATGGCTGTGTGATTGCATGTGGGTGTAGTTTTCTGTGCAGGCAATCTCCCTCTCATTACCGGCAGTTACCTGTCTTGTTTTGTATCTGTTACGACGACGTGCTTTAACTGAATCTTTATTTGCAGTCGTGTACTCTGTACATTCTGGTGAAGTCTTACTAGGAAGGTGAACTTCTCACACAACTAAACAGAACAGGCTCCATCTGCATACACTGCGGACCAATCACAATCAGGCTTCAGTCAGCAACCAATAGGAACACATGTTACTAACTTACAACACAACAGTGTTGCTAGGCAACCACAATGATATTCTGTGAGAATATTACATCCCCCTTTTAGAAAAGATAAACGTAACACATACTTGTAATACAGTATACATGGCATAATGTGCTGTTAGTGAATAAACCCAAATCAAAATGTTTTTAAAATCAATCTGCATCAGAATACATCACAGCATATAACCAATGAACATTTTATTTTTAAGGGCAGCGATCTGCCTACACCCTTTTACATGAGTTTAGAAGTCCAAAACAGACCTGGGCTTTATCTCTCGTCCGTACCTGGTCTGGTAAGGACAGTGTGAGGAACTGTTTGAGGGACAGTTTCACTTGTGATCTGTGAGGTGAGTGATGTGGGACTGTGTGGTGTTTGCTGCTTGTTGTCATCAGGTTGTCTGTGTGTGTGTGTGTTGGGTGTTTCTTTTGTGATAAGAAGGTCACGTCTGTTTCTCCTGTACTCTTGTCCTTCAGGTGTGTGTATGTGGTAAGATCTGTTAGTGTCAGCAGGCTGAATGATGACTGCAGGCTTCCAGTATCCTGATCTTGGAAACGGATTTGTCCTTCGTGCAGCTGTGTCATCTGCTTGGCTGACCTGTCATAATATCGTTTCTGGGTTTTGTTGCTGGTGAGCTCTCCTGGTATGAGCACTTTGTTGGCTGACGATCTTGGGCTGAAGCTGCTTGTGGTGTTGG